ATGACAAGGCAGTCATTTGATGAGCACACGCTGTGATGATAGCGAGGGCATAAGTTTGTTACATGCGAACTTGAGTGAACAAATATGCACCAGACTATATTGTATTCTCATTGGGATCAAACATGTACAGACTCTATTGGGTAGATAATGTTCATAGTGTGTAAAAGACAGCTGCCATGAAAGCAGACATACCCTGCCCCATATTGTGCACAAATAGCAATGGAAATGAAGGCAAATGCATATCTGCTATGATCAAAACTTTTCATACCAGTATCAAATAAACTTTTTTTTTAAATACAGTAATATCTTGTTGACTCAAAGTCATAAAAACCAAAAAAATTTTTCGTGATAAATGGATTTTCAAGATAACAGAGTGGTGCTAATTGCCGGGGAAAATGAGCGCTTTTTACAAAAACCACTACTGCTCTTCAGCAGCAGTTTCTCATCATTCTTCTCCTACAGGTTTAAAAGTGAAAAAATAACATACAAGAGACTTCAACTGGCTGGGTGTTGCCCAACTGCCATTTTATTTAGCAGAGAAAAACTGCGTAATGCTCGTCTGCTTTGCGATCGTTCTCTAGTTTCAGAAGGCATCCTCCAGATACTTCACGCATTGCATCAATTGATCTTCCCCGTTACTGCACTCAACCTTATCTCGAAGCAAGTGCAGTAAATTTCTTGGCTCAGAAGATGTCAGCACCTCTTGAGGTGGTTCATCATCGTTGTTGTCTCCGCAGTCTCCTACGTTAGTGGCCGTTTGAACGATTTCGACGTCCATCATTTCTGTGGTCATCGCCACATCCTGCTCACAGCGCGTACTCCAGAAAAGTCCCATCATTTTCAGTGGCACAGTTACCTGTAAGCTTCACTACCTCTTCAAAATGTTCCTCACAGTCTGTGAAGTACTCTGTCTCTGCCGTCTCTGCTTCTGGCAAACTAGCGCGACGTGAAAGCTAAGCGTGCGTAAAGCAGTTGGCGATAGTCGCTGCGCGAACTTGCCGCCAAACGCTTCTGAAAAGGTGCACAGCTCCCAGCAAGGCAAATTTTGTAGCCTTTGCTATTTTCATAAGACAACAAAATTTTATGGAGAATGGTGTTTCGGTAGACTTTTCGGGCCACTTTGACAACACCTTGGTCTATCGGCTGCAGCACAGACGTCATTATTGCAGGCAGAAACTCCACTTTCACTACCTCTGAATTCTCTATTTTGCCGTGGCCTGGGCAGTTGTGGACAATGAACGAAAATGTTCTGTTTTTCTTGGCCATCTTGTTATCTATGGAGCGACCATACCTTTAAAAAAAAAGTAGCAGTCATCCACACTGCTCTATTAGTAAGATAGATAGTGCCATTCGGCAGTTGTGCATTTCTAAAGCACCTAGGCTTAAGAGCTTTGCCAATTATGAGTAATGGCAGCTTCTCTTCACCTGTGGCATTTGCCCCGAAAAGGACAGTGACCCTGTCCTTCCATTGTTTCACTCTCAAACACACACCGCCCTTCGGTGTGAAGGTGCGCCACGGAAACATTTAAAAAAAAGGGCTGCCTCCTCAAGGTTGAAAATTTCGCTGTCAGTGTAACTCTCCCGCAACTCGGTGAACCAGCTGCTGCGCTAATTGTCTGCAGTCGCTGCGTCTGTGGTGCCGCTCTCGCCGTGCACTGACTTATACACCACACTGTTTCTTTTTTTTTGAAGTGGTCAAACCAGCCGCTGCTGCAACTGAAGTCTGTGTGCCCCATTTGCAAGGCCAGAGCGTGTGTTTTCTTCATCACTACTGATGTGGTGACGAAAAAGTTTACCACTATGGCATTTCGCAACCGCGAAACATCAATGCCGCTTCAACATCTGTGAACTTCGACCCTCGAACCCGCTTGCGCTGACTGGAGAAGCTTTGCTGAAATTCATCAAGCACCTTCTGTTTGTTTTTAGCATGATCAAAAGCATACACAAAAGGATGACGAGTTCCTGCACGATGCTCGATTTCGTTTGGCCTCCTTTCTCCACTTCCTTAATTTTTTTCCCCAGCGTTAGCGACTTCCGCAGCTATGACGCCATGCATGCCGCACTTCCGCTAAGTTGCCGCTCCTCACAGTGAGCGAAAAATACGTACCGCTCGATTCGCACAGATGGACGGGAAGCACACCTCAGAAAAAATCATGTGCACTGCACAAAGCGAACGAGACCATCGACGCCAAGAGTGGGCAGAGGGCCTCTCTGCTACAGTGTACTGGAAGAGGGCAGTGGGCTTACTCAGCTGCTCCTCTGACGCAGCTGGCATTGCATAGGATAGGTGGTGCCACAGGCAACTTCAAAAGAAGCTTCACTTGAAAAATCTGCTCACCACTGGTCGCACGCGAGTTGCGACACACAATTCTTTTATATTTGAAACAATCTTGCTAGTATTAACTGCTATTTGACTATAGTGAGGGCGCCTGTTCCTTTTGGTTTATCTTTTTTCCATTTTTTTCTGCGACAGAAATTGCAAAGAGTGAGCCCGATAACAGCCAACACAATTCATGCCTTTCTTTCTTCCTTCTTTTTTTAGTGCCACACAGTTAATGCCATTTTTTATTTTGGCGCGCTTGATAATTGATATGTGGGGTTTAACGTCCCGAAACCAACATATGATTATGAGAGATGCCGTAGTGGAGTGCTCCGGAAATTTTGACCACCTGGGGTTCTTTAACGTGCACCCAAATCTGAGCACACGGGCCTACAACATTTCCGCCTCCATCGGAAATGCAGCTGCCGCAGCCGGCATTCAAACCCGTGACTTGCGGGTTAGCAGCCGAGTACCTTAGCCACTAGACCAACGCAGCGGGGCCTTTGGTGCACTTGAGTTCATTGCATATTCACTATATCTTTTTCGACCACATTGCATTTCCTGGTGAGCGTAGGCGAGATTTTGTCTTGGGGGTACAAACTTGGGTTGCACATAATCTTGGTGAAGGGGGATTGCTGGTATAGCTTAGGTGGAGGATGGTGCTGGTGTGGCTTGAGAGGGCAAGTGCCCCTTTTCTACCCCCTGTCAACACCCAAGCATTTGCCCCTGCAAGGCAGCTCGCGAAAAGGGACGATGTAGTATCCTACATCGTCCTTTTACTGACGATGTATTATCCTACATTGATTGATATGTGGGGTTTAACGTCCCAAAACCACTATATGATTATGAGAGACGCCGTAGTAGAGGGCTCCGGAAATTTAGACCACCTGGGGTTCTTTGACGTGCACCCAAATCTGAGCACACGGGCCTACAACATTTCCGCCTCCATGTATTATCCTACATCGTCAGTAGCCGTGTAGACTTAGTTTTTTGTATCAAGACTATGCTTAAATTTCACCTTCAGGCACTTGTCCCCGCCTTTCTGTCCGCGTCTAAGCAGTGCGGTCTCATTTCAAAACAGTTATGTATCACCAACTCGCCCAATCAACCATATTGACAATTCACCTTCCAGTTCCTAATCAGAGAATAGAGCATGCCCGCTTCTTTGCCAAGCTCAAAAATGCAGGTATGCTTGCTGGGTTTGTGCCTTCACTCTGCTAGAGCGAAAAATTGTACCTTGATTATTTTTATTCTACTTTAGATGTAGCACGAATGATAGTTTTCTGGGGACTATCATTTTTCTTCATTATTGACCACCATTCAATAAGGGAGATGGGGGAAGTGCTGCAATGAACCTTTGCCCCCCTCCTTTCCTCTGATAGGGTACTCTAAGCACGCTTATGATTGTCTGTCTGAAGTTTCTGGCGTCTTCCTTTTAAGAACGCTCCTCTCTTTCATCGGCTTTTTCTAAGGTAGGCTGGCAAATTGGGAAGAATCGTGGCACAGCATATCAGCGAAGATTGGGTCTCCCACAAGGTATACACACTTCTTTTACATCGATAATGTGCACATAGCTTCTAAGCGCATGGCGCAGTTCAAAGTGGAGCTCGTGCACTGCACTGGTGTTTTCCAAGGGCCTGTCCCCTCTGACATGTTCTTTTCGCATTCTTTAGGCCTGTTCTGAATTTTTGACAAGAAACGACAGCTTCGACTCGCCCTTCACGTACACATAGTCTGTTTGGCCCGTAGCGGCACTGGTTTTTCCGACGTGGCGTAGAACGGGCACAAAAAGGCACACTAATTTGACGAATGCTGCATACAGCTAAACGCTCCGGCAAAAAAAAAAAAAAAACTTGGCGCTAAAACGTCTACCGAAATGAAACGTGACTTGGCAACTGCTCGTCTGGAAGAGCTGGCCGCCTCTTTCAGCCACAACCGTCCTCCCAAGTTCTAGTGATGACAATGCAAGCGTCGCCGCCCGGGCAAAGAGAAAAGCGTGAATTGGCAACGTTTGCGGAGCCATCTGACCACAGAGCCTCCGCCGGAAAGTGAGCCCACTGCCCTCTTCTAGTACACTGCATCTCTGCTCAGCGCATGTGGCACATAACGTGCCACAGGTTTGCTTGACAAATTTGATATGTCGCTGGGCTGATATTTCGCGCTCTTCGCGTTCCCGGAAAGCATCGACGTAGTAGCAGGCGCAGCAAAATGAGAAAAAAAAAAAGCGATGGACTTCAGCCGTGGCAGCATTGTGCAAATCTTGTGAAATGGTCCAACGGCAGAATTTTCGTTCCACTCCCAGTCAAGATTTCGAGTTATTTGCAATCCGACCCAAAATAGAGATAAAGGGAAAAAGATACATGGGACGTATAAAAAAATGTTTGGTGCCGCGAAAAATTTCAACTTAGTCGATTTTTCGAGACATGCGAGTTCAAGGGATGTTTTGGTTAATATGTGGGGTTTAACATCCCAAAACCACCATATGATTATGAGCGACGCCGTAGTAGAGGGCTCCGGAAATTTCTACCACCTGGGGTTCTTTAACGTGCACCCAAACCTGAGCCCATAGGCCTACAATATTTTCTCCTCCACCGAAAATGCAGCCGCTGCAGCTGGGATTCAATCCCGCAACCTGCGGGTCAGCAGCCAATACATTAGTCACTAGACCACCGCGGCAAGGCTATGCGAGTTTGAGTTAACGAGGTATTACTGTAAGCACCTATGAAATGTAGCAGCTTCACTTGTGTGCCACTACATTGCCAGCCACAGAAGGCTAGCATTTCTGTAAAGCCCAACACACCAAAGCTACAGAATGTACCCCTGTATAAAGTGCATGTTCAGAGTAGTAGTAGCGAGAAAGCTCATAATAAAAAATGTGCTGGTTCACCTCCAGCGCAGGTAAATGGAGTAAAAGAACAAATACATGGTTCGTACCAAAGAACAGGCAGCCAAAACACTATGGTCAAAAGGCTCACATATTCTTCGAGTTTGTTTGACAGGGCACAAAAAAAAAACAGCTTTTACAAACAGCATATCTTGCTTGATGCAAAACAGGATAATTACTGAACATCTCCGAGGAGTGCGCTCTCGCAGTTTTGAAGTTCCACAAGGTATTGTCCCATGAGCATCAAAGGTGAACACGCCAATTACGAAGCGCTAGCTTATGGCATTTGCTAAATATCTCAGAACTGTCCAGAAGCTCAAGCCACACATCTCAGATGGCTCCATGTCTCGGATACCTCTATATACTGGCATTTTTTCAAGAAAAATTACTGCTAAAATAGCATCAGATCTACTGCTGAAAATTCCCATAACCCTACTGAGGCCTGGAAAAAGCTTCAGTGAAAACGGCAATGAAGAACATTTCAAATACACTTTTTAAGTCGGTTTGTTATAACTGAAACAGTAATGCAAGAAAGTCCCGACTGAAAATCCTTCAAAAAAGCTTGTCTACATTATTAGTTGGAAATTAGCCCCTCATCAAAGTTGCTACATTGTCAAGTACAGCCAATCATAGCTGCCATTAAGCAAAAGCATGAGATCCCATTAAAACATGGTAAAAAAAATAGTCATTATCTGCTAAAATTACTCTAAAAATCCACTGAAAATGCCCCACCAAAAGTGCCCTGCAGAACTTGTTAAAAACAATCGAATTTTTGCTTCTGATCAACCAATCTATTATACTTTTCATTGAAAATTCACTGAAAACATTTCAGTGCACGTGATGCCAAATGCCTGCTCACATAACGCTACATGGCAGATCAACTCAGTTTTGCGCATATTTTAATGCAATCTAGAAAAAGTACTTTGAGCTGCCACATTTACTCTTCATAGAGCAATAAAGTCATAATTGGTTTAGGACACATTTCATCAAGCTGGTCTATGATTTGAGAACACGGTTGAGTTCAATTAATGCAAAGCCTATCTGAATAGCTCCTTGCAATACCTCAAGACTTTCCAAGTCTACGCTTGGGCACTTGGTGCTTACTTCTAGCACAAGTGTTAGAGAAAAGAAAAATTGATATTGTACTTCCCATCTTAGTGTCAGCTTAGGATACAGAAAAAATAACATGGCAGGAAAGTAAAAAGAAAACACAAAACAATATGGCATGTACCCGCCAAATATTTCATGCTGCTGGATGGCCTGGCATGGACACAATAAGAGAGAAGTGGAACGGGAGAGTTTGATATAGAAAATGGCAAAACGACATCCAAATATCGCAAAAGTGAAATGACGTGAAATTGCCTAGTGTTCATGGTGATCAACACCAAAAATGACTGCAAAGATAAGTTGACCCTTTGAGACGCTATGTACACAATTGTGTACACCATTCGTTCTTACTGTTTGCAGCAAGTAGAGGCTGAGAAAGAGCAAAATAAGTTGTACTTTGGCTGAATTGAACCTTCTGCACTATAAGATTGTCCTCACTTAACTTCATTCTACAGTGTACTGATATATATGATTACTTTTCTAAAGACAGTATCACGTTTAACCAGTCGTGCGACATGCCACTTCCTTCAAGCAATGTGAAAAGCAGGGATTTTGTTTGCGAAAACTGAACATAACTAAGTATGAATTTTCTACTTTATTCCTAGCCTGAGATTTTATTCTGTTTATGCCAGAAGTAAGCATCCATGACTTTAGGATAAAGAAATATTTAATTGCAACTTAGTTAAGATGAGTCACTATAACATGCATAAATACAACAATTACCTCATTCTTGTTGTTGCAACCAAATACTGAGTGCCTTGAAGCAACCTTATAGCGATTTGACACATTTAGGGACAGTTTTTTATCAATGGCGTCTGAGACATGTTTTCAATTTTCATTAGACAGCATTAAAAATTCAATATGGCCACACACACAAACACGTGTATTGTTCAGACAACTAGGAGAAAATGAAGCAAACAAAAAAGTAACCCGACTCACAACAGATACTGACACGAACAACTGATCCGCAAATGAGAACAAAGGGTGCCAGAAACTTGTTCGCAGAATTCATATACTTGGAGGTGCTGTTATTTTTTCCCCAACAAAAAACGGCATGTCACATTTCCACCACGCTCGCAGCTTTACCTTACGTCTGAAATACATCATTTCTTTTTTCTTGATTGACTTCTTTTTTAATATGTAACTTGATTTACACTTGTTCTCAACTATATTTTCCAAATATGTAAGGCTGATGAAAGAATGTAGCAATGCTGATCAGGTTTAACTGGAGTAATGTGCTGCTCATAGCAATGAGCACTAACTGATGATCCCTTCATATCAATATTTACTAACCCAAAATGAGCTATTCTAGAAAATAAAATGGTAAGACTTTGTTCAACCCTTATAAAAAAAACATGTGCACTATACAACACGTTCACAACCATAACATTCGTATCGTGCAGTGCCTGAAGTGAATAGGAAAACAGTGAATTACCAAAAATAGTAAAATCTTCTCTGACATCAATGGTAGAAGGCCTTGGCAAGAACTATTTAGGGCCTGTTGGTGCACAATCGACAAAATTTTTGAACGTGGAAAAGACTTTTTTTATGCACCGTGTTTTCTGCACTCTAAAACTCTGTGACTGTGGTTGAACAAAAAAAAAAGAAGGTACACTAGCCACACTACTACGATAAACAAAATTTCCCTTAAAAACCCAGACACACAATTTGCTAAATGCTCAAAGAACTGGCATGAGGCATGGAGCGAATTGATCAAGAGGCACATGTGGTCGATTGCGTGTCCTGCTGGACGCACATAGTAGCAGGCCAGATCAGTGAACGCGCTCTTTCCTCCGCACCACTCTGTCTTCCAGCAAGGGCACAGTGCAGGAGGTCATGTCGCCACGATCCAAGGGGTCGTCAAATGAGCATGACGAGCCCTTGAGCATCTCTGAAACAGCCAAGCGTGCACCACATTGCACACCTTTACTCGTGTACTTAAGGACCCATTCGTGCCAGTGACTCACCGTGAATGACCATGAGTGGCATCCATTGACGGCATAGAGTTTCCTAAATATTCACTAGAAAGAACTCTGGCATTTAGTGTCTATGGGAGCTGCAACTCACGGCGCTTCAGCAAGCATGGGAATGATGGGTAGTACCAGGATTTGTCTAATCTTCGTACTTCTGGCTCTGTGTGCGTTCGCGTGGCTTGGAGCTGTTTTCTCACGAAACAAAAATCAGCAAATGTTAAGCAGTTGCACTTCATCACCTTATTCTTTTAAGCTTACCATTTCAAATCGGGTCACAAAGTTCAAAAGAGGTTCATTCTTTCCCTTGAAACAAAACCGAAACACAGCAGTAAAAGAAGCCACAAGTGCGATTTGCCGCCCGAAAGTACGAAGACTAGGCAGATCTGTGTACTATCCATCATTACCATGGTCGCTGAATGATCGCAGCGACAGAGCCTTCTCTAGTTAATTTTAGAAAGCTCTATGATTGACAGTGACCAACATTTACAATAAGAAGTGCAACACTGCCACACTAAAATGTCTCGTGACGGTGCCATTTGCATCTAATCTGCTAGCAGAAACTAGCACTGACACTGCTACATCAAATTTCAGTGCACGCTGATGTCGCGCTTCTGCAACGCTAACAGGTTCAACAGCTTCCTGAATCAAGCCGAAGAGCTGATAAGCCCACAGAGTGCCTTGTCGGGCAAAGTAACAATGTGGTCACTCGACCTTTGTGACTAGCCAGCGTGACTACTGACCGACAGAGAGGCGATTAATTTGTATCTCTGTCGATATGGAAACTAAGATGCCACAGCTGGATAGAATGTGCCTCGAGTAAGAAGTTTTTGTCGGCAAACACCGATGAAATATGACTGCCCAGTATTGAGTGGCATCATCGGTAAAGAAGATTCCATATACAACTGCACGGTCTTACCGTGACTAAGAAAAAAAGAAAGAGCAACAGGAGCTTTCAAGTTAGAGACATCTTTAAGGTAAAAGGAATAACCGGAGTGCACTGAACCCTAGCACAAGAAAGGAAAGGTAACAGTCCCTTTCTACTAATTGTCCGTTTCCTTCGGAGCTAGTATTTTTGTTCAAACTCCAGAGATGGCCTATTCCAGCGAATTAAATTACAGAGATGATCCGCACAGTCTTACTGTTCGAGGATGAGTCTGAGTTCAGTCTACTGCATCCGACATCAATACAATGTATGCGCGAGCAATGCAGAAGCTGTGATTAGCTTCAGCCTAGGAGCAAGGGGCAGGCCACACGACACGCGGATGCGACCTGCCACAATGAATCGGAGAAACGAGTACCGACATGCAGAACAATCACTCACCACGGGTGAGAGCAGCGCAGTCCTCCCTGTCAGCCACAATGTGCCAGGAGAGGACGACGAAGAACAGACTGCCCAACACCAGCACAGCCACAGGCAGAAACAAGGCGTACTGCAGGCTGAAGTAGTGGGCCGCCACATCCGTTCGGCCCACCAGGATTGCATCGTATATCTGCACAACACCAAACAGACAACTTTTTCTATCCCCTGCACTCTAATATATCGCAACATGTTGCCGGGCTCGCAGGTTTGTTCTTGAGCAAAATGGTTGTGATGCAACCCGAAGCAAAGAGTGCAATAAAGAAAGAAGTGTCCACAACACTCTCTCCTATCTTGAATTGTCAGTTCACGTTGCTGCATTTGATTGCTGCCTAGATATCAATGCACGGCTGTGGTTGTTGCCTGCAGCAACTGAAACGCTGCATTGCTGAACACGTGAACGATGGGATAATTCCCGATGTGAAGGAAACAAACAGTTATAAGGGAGGACTGCACAATGTTATAGAAAGATAGAAAGAGTGGAAGAAGGCAGATCAGTATATCAGTCCCACAGACATCAAGATCTGCTTGCCCCCATTTACCTAATAAGGCAAGGGCCCCTGAATTTCCTAAACAGTGCAAGTGCTTTGTATTCATCACATGGAGGATAAAGCATGAGATTAAAATAAAATTTTATTTAATTTCTGAAAACAAATTGAACGGGCTAAAATGTATTCATTATAACATTTCATGAAAACATAAATTACTTTCTCTAACCACTGCAAGCTTTTGGAAGACCGAGAGAACAAAAGATGAGGAAGCAGAGGGGCGAGTGCTCGTTTGCAGTAAGAACCAAGCAACAATAATGGCGAACCAAGAAAAAAGTGGATGAATAAATGAACGCAAGTACATTTCAGTGCTTGCACAAAGCATGTAGTCACTGTTCCCATGTTGTACACTCATCGAAAAAAGGTCTTTGTTGAAAATGAGTAATACTAGTATTATTTCTAACACCTAATCTTTGCTGCTTGCGCAAATGCCCGGAAGAAGTAGTCTAATTCTTTGTACAGCACTGCACAATTTTTCACTTTATGCTGTTAACAGATACCAAAGACCATTTGACTGTATTTTTGATGAATTATTCTCACGGCAAAAAGCTGCATAGTGTCGATTCATGTTCCAACTGGATAAGGCACGCACACAGACAGAGACAGTAGAAGGAAAATGGAAACAACACGGGCACGCCTTATTCAGTCTGAACACGAATTGATACCGTTTAATCCAATTATCCGGGCTACTGCAATACATGTGTGGACGCTTTTTTTTATAGATATTGAAGACTTGTTTGTGCAGTTATGGTATGAAGTAATACTACTCGCAATTTTGTGTGAAAGAACGACCAAGCTAGTTGCCCATTACACGTCCTTACTATTCCGAGGTTCTATGCTGTCACAAACAAGCGCTCAAGATAGCGCACGGCTCCGATTTCTAAGGGCTCCGTAAAAACAGGCGCCAAGCAGATGCAACAAGAATCGGCATAAAGAAAAAACAGCATCAAAAGACTCGCCCCCTCGAAAAAGACGCCACGCCAATCAACCTCCTCGCACTTGTCACCGAGCGAACTCTAGAAACATCTAAAAGAAAAGGGGCGTGGTGCTGCATAGTTGCATCAGATTACAAGAGAGGTCCCGCCCTTTCCACAGCCTTGGCAGGGCGGCGGACGGAGAAAACGCCTAGAAATTTCAGGAAACCAGGAGCTAGTGCATATAAGCAAGCAGCGAAGGGAGACGCATCAAGAATATGAAGAGAGTTTTCCACCAGCGTGCAAAGGCTTGTCTTACAGGCAGGAGATGAAGCGTAGTTTTCCACCTGCAGGTGAAGGCTTGTCTTAGAAGCAGGAGATGAGTGTGTGCTTATCGCCCGCGGGCTAAAACATGCTCTGCAGTAGCAGCGCGTGAGTGACTAATGTGTTACTGTCAAAAAAGTTTCGTTATTGAAGCGGGATCAGTTGACGACGCGAGAGTTTCCTGGAAGAAAAACCTCGGATGCAGCGGGACGACAACCGGCGCTGGACTTTGAGTGTGTGTTTCCTTGAAGAAAAGCATTCAAGCTTTGCTCCACGAACATTGGACTGAATACGTGTGACGAACATTTTAGTCTGTAAGTGCCTTGTTTAGTAAATGTATGAGATTGCATTAGAGCGCGTGTTATTGTTTGTGTTCATTGTTTTGAATTTATCGGAGTTCCTTGTGAGTTGCATCATTATGCATTATTGCCAAGAGTGCATAATTGTATGTTTTGTTCTTCCTTGTTTAAGAATATATTTTTGTTTTGTTATCAACCCTCAGCTCTGCCTCATTTTTTTTTTACCACAGCAGGCGTTCGCTACACACCAAAAAAAACAACACTAAATTGTCTGCACTTTCGTGGTGCTGACGCATCATCCCTTGGAATCAGCACCATGATTGCCTTTCTGATAACGGGACTAGTGACATATGCCCAACCACTGGTGAAAGATACTGGGCTCTTCATAGAATGCAGGCTCGAAACAGCTGCCCAAGTGATCCCTTCAAGCCACTCACATGTGTTGAGAGCTCCCACACCTGCAGGGGAAAGCTGCTCATGCACATGACACTTAAGTAATCTGGGCACTCGGTGGTCTTGTCAATTAGACACTGGATGCATGCGGTCCTTGGATCACAGTTAAATCACTCACCACGCCAACGATGTATGGACTGCTGGCGTCACCCAGCAGATGGGATATTAAGATCTGGAAGGCAGCACCCGTGGCTCTTCGTGAAGGCACCAGGATGTACTGCAAGAAAGAAAAAGCCCAAAAGCTCCTTCTCACGTGGCAACTCAGAGGCATTTAGGCTGAACCATGCACACACAAGATCCGCATCCTAAGTCCATGGCCTACACCTCAGAAACAGCAGTCAACAGTACCTGTAAATACAGGCGAATGTCGCTCAAAACATTCACCCACCTGTCATGATACCCATGGGCTGATGTGGCAAGAAGTCATATAGAATGCCACAACTAAACAGCATACTTCAGTGCAACTAGATTGCAGCTACAAATGCAAGAAAAAAATCCCTGGTAGTGACATCACGGCAGTAACCTCAGACTTTTTTTCTTTTAGCACCCATTAATTTCATTCTCTATAATAACTACATCAGAGCATATATATATGTTTTCTTGGGCTCAGTCAGCACCACATGTGATGTTGGATTCCAATAGCAGAGTCAGAGCAGATGACGGACTCTGCAAGTGAGCACTCAACTCTGGCATAGAGCAATGCCTCCAAATCCACAACTGGAACACAATCCGTGCTGCTGGAGCAAGCATGAGAACATGGAGGAGGAGGAAGTGCTTGAGTTACCCAGAATACCTTGCCTGTAGCTATTCGATTGCACAGTCGAATTCAGTCAAATTCACACTCGCACCCACGTTTGTATTGTTGCAGTCACTATCCGATGAATCACTCGTGAAGCAATTAGTTTTCCGATTTGGAGCTGCCACTACCGAGCAGCAGAAGCAATACCGCATGGCTCGCCCAGTCGCACCCATGTCATCTACCATTACTGGCAAGACTCACGACACCACTGCAAACAGACAAATGTGGTAATAAAGGGGCCAAAACACGGTCACCCACCAAATTGCAGTTCACAGCAAAAATTGAAGTAGAGGGTCGGTCTACTGTGCCTGTACATAGATGAAAAAGGGACTTTGAAAAATAGTTCATAGCAAAATGAGCCCAAGAAGTTGTTGGCTATAAACCCTGCCCACCAACGGTTTTGCCATGGCGCATGTGACGTCGTGTACTTTATGAAGCCATTATCTTCTATTCAAGTTTTAGCCACTGCAAATTTTTCAACTTTCGGTGATGAACTCAAGCAAGCTCCAACTGCACTGTTGTACATGCGGCTGACCATGAAACAAGATTGTTGGGCAAAATACAGACACTGGCAAAGCAAGCGGCTTGTTACATCACGGCTTGCATGTGCACCAGTGTTGCCAGACTCTCTGGCCATCTGTGTGTTTGTAAAGATGCTCGTTATAAATTGAATGCTCAGCCTAATGTGCTGAAATTTCACCACCTTGTTTATTAACCCACATAACACAGGTCATAAGTGAGAATTGGCTGTCAAGGACCCTTCAAAGAAAACACATCACGCCAAGCTCCGGTCCGCTCTCCTGATTTTGGCAGAGAAATTTTTCATGCTCCTAGAAGTGACTTTCGCTCTGAATCTACTCTGGCTCTCTCATTGGAACCCTCCACTCCTGCCCTCACTTTGCCATCGGAACACACTTCCTACAAAAAGAGTGGAAAAGCCTGCCGTAAGTACACTATTGGAATTCAACATAAACAAAGCAACCTTTCTTTTTGGACTCATTTAATGTTTTTATGGCCTGTTATGGGGCCCCCGCCAGCTGCATGGCATAAGAGCTGGTGACATGAAAATATTGCTGGAAAAGAAAGCATGCAACCGGAACTGGCTAGATGATATCACAGCTCTTTGTTCTTCCATTGCAGCAGTTTGCAACCAAAAATGATTGCCGCCTGCTAGCACTAAATACTTTTAAGCCACTGAAAAAAATCCTTTTTGGGTAATGTGCATGTTAAAAAAGTCACAGCTTTGCCGCAAAGGCGAGGTAATGAAAGCGATAGCAACAAATTGGAAGGTCACGTGCAGATTGGCCAGCAGATCGAAACATGCCCCGTGTTTCACACGCACGAAACGTACTCTCAGATACAGATGAACGCGAATAGGGGTCTCAGTTGTTACTTTGCTGTGTTTTAAAAGCGCTCTCTTTTCGCAAACGGAGACTGAGCAATGATTTGAGTGACCTTTGTGCGCCCGGTAACTACAACAGAATCGTTCCATTAAAAGCTGAAGGCCCGCCAAAACATACAATCCTCCCCACTGCGAGACAAGGGCGCACGTGTGAGAGTCGACCCCCTGCTCTTCGTGGGGCAAAGTGCACATGGGAGATGAGAGCGCATGTCGGCGCGTCTTGACGAAGTGGGACTTTAGGCTTCGTGCGTTCATTACGCCGTCTTGCTAGTAATGCTGAAAACACGATAGTGTCCCCCCCCCCAAGATGCCCGTCACCAGCGATAACTGGTAGATAAAAACAGCTTGCCATTTGAATGTTGAAGGATGTGCTCCTCAGTGGCTCAGTGGTTAACGTCTCGCACTCACAACTTAAAGGTCCCAAGTTGGGTTCCGCGAGCCGGAGTCTTTTTCTAGATTATTTTTCTTTCTTGCGTTTTCATATGTATAAATTTGTATAGTAATACGGTGAGTGACGACCACATCAACGCCGGCAGCAAAATCCAGCCAAGAGTGTCCATCCGTCTATTCGCTGACGATTGCGTGATTTATCGTCCTATTAACTGCCCTAATGACTCCCAGATCCTTCAAAATGATCTAATAACTATAGAAACCTGGTGCAAAAAATGGCTCATGACTTTGAACATTAGGAAAACCTCCGTCATCTCTTTTCATCGCAGGAAATCTCACCCGGCTACTTCATACTTTTTTTCTGGTTGCGAAATATCCCTGGTGAATTCCTACAAATATTTAGGTATAAACATTACGCCAGATCTTACTTGGTCCTCCCACATAACAAACATTTCTAACGAAGCAAACAAAGTCCTTGGTTACCTTAGAAGAAATCTACGACTTGCTCCCCCTTCTGTTAAACTTTTAGCATATCAAACACTAGTCCGTCCGAAGCTTGAATACGCTTGCGCCGTCTGGGATCCCCACCAACCTAATCTATCCAAAACATTAGAATCTGTCCAAAATAGAGCATCTAGGTTTATATATTCCGATTACTCGCGCCACACAAGCGTTACTAACTTAAAGATTAAAGCCCATCTTCCCAGCCTTGAACTGCGACGCAAAGTCGCTAGATTAGCTCTTTTTCATAAATTTTTTCACTCACTGTCCGACGCATCTGTTATCATGCCAGCGCATCGCATATCTTCCCGCACTAACCACAACAACCCAGTTTACCCTGCGCATGCCCGTACAACTGCTCACCTTCGGTCATTCTTCGTTCAGACAGTGAAGGATTGGAATGACCTTCCGTCCCACGTCGTGCGCCACTCCAGCCCCATTCTTTTCAAAGCGCACATGGAAGAAACCCTGTATTGCCCACCCCTCATGTAACACCCCTCCCTGGGGTTTTTGAGGTATAATAAATAAATAAATAAATAAATAAATAAATAAATATAATTGCCATCGCAATAAAGAAAACAAGTTTTACATTGAAAACACTTACAGAGAAGGTTTATTTCAGATGCTATCAGAATTGTTGGAACACGTAGAATGCTTAACAAGTGGGAGACTCAGCTGCTGGTTCACTTACACTATATTGACAGCTGCAATCAGAAAAAGAAGGAGCACGCACAAATGTGAGCTCATGAAAAAGTACCGCTAATAACTGTTTTACCAATGCATGCCAAATGAAAGCTGACTATAATCAGAGCTGTTAACATAACGAGTGCTTGAGAAGTGCTGGTGAGATTGATATTCTGTGAAGCCTGGCACAAAAGTATAAAAAAATCTGAATACCCAAAACACAACTTGTGTTTTCTGCAAATGAACCTTCCTTCATCAATAGAGACAGTGAGTAGTTGTTAGTACAGTCAAACCTCAATATAATGATGTAGCGTCAATACTGCAATTTACTTTGCTAAATCCAATATTTGTTGAAACAGTGGAGATGAAAACAGGCTTTAACAAATTTGGAATTGTAGATGTGCAAAAGTCATCGATACAAAAGCACATAACACTAATGTTGACACCCACCAGTCATGAGGTAATCCTTACCAGTCTCCTCAAGCCATTTTAAATTTCGGTTCAACTTCAAGACAGCAACTCTTGCAGCCTTGAAGAAGACAAGTCCACTAGTTGAAACATCGGCTTCAGCAGACAACCCTGTTTACAAATTTCTCAACACAAGCTTCCATCTTCTCTTGACTCCTGCCTTTTTTGGAACTCAAATGTGAGGTCTTTAAAGAGCCCGTGAACCACTCTCGATATTTTTTCAAGCATTTCAAGTAAATAAGCGCAACATGTGCAGAATTCCGTCGCGATCAGCGATTCTACACGTGGCAGCGCTACAAGCCGCTGGCGTGCCACAAATTCCAAGAAACAATCCCTCCTTCTTTCTGGGCGTTTCGGGCCTCTGCGTGACACACCGTGCCACATCTTTGGAGCGCCGAGCCAAACACAGTGGACTCCCATTGAACGAAACTCGGTTAAATGAAAAAGCCGCACAGACGAAACTATCTAGGCATAATTGGTTGGTATGCTATATATTTAACAATAAAAAGTTTCGGGTAATCGGGAACATTTTTCATAGCTTTCATCGGTTAAATAAAACTAAAACAGCCAAAAGCCATGAACGGCGAAAGTGGCCATGGCAGTCTAGCAACCATGGAACCAGTGTCAAAGCTAGCTTAGCCACGCTAATCCAGCAATTGCACAAGTCCGCGCACGCCAAGAAGCAATCAACGTCTCTTCGTGAACACGAGGAGACAGCCTTGAGGAACCTATAGCTCAAGTTCAAGATGAGGACTTGTGCTCAAGTGGTAACGAGATGGTGTGTGATGCCAAGCCCATTTCAGTGGCTGAGAGTACAGCAAGAGATGCCGTCATCCTGTTTCAGCGCTCCTTTGAACACGATGGTGGCACAGTTCTTGCCCAGCCTTTCAGCAATGCACTACTACTATGTGAAGTAGGGCTTGAGCAAGGCCAAGCAAATTGTTATCACCTCCTTTTTTCCAAGTCAGCAATA